AGATAGAGTGAACATTTGTACCACAAGTTGAAAACGTTCTTTGCAAAGGTTTGATATAATCTGTTATCGATTTTACGGCTTAAATTTGATCTTCAACTTTTAATCCATGTTTCTCTCCCAAAATCAAAGTAAGTAGCATTTTCGAGCGAGATTTTGTGGATCAATTATGGGATAAAGTGCCGTTGTTTTTCGTTTTTTATAATATCCGCAGTCTGTGGAACCTGGATTTCGCGGTCGCTCCTCCGTTCCCGGTGGGTGACCTCTTAGTAGAGGTTCGATTGTAGTTTTCAAGTTTCACATTCAGCCATACCTAAACACTTTGCCTAAACAGATTGATATACTGAGGCGCTTGCTACAATAAACACACTGAACGGTTGAAGCCCAAAAGGTTCTAGGATTAGTTACTAGGATTAGTTACTGTTACATCAACAACACAAGAGGTACGCCAGTGAGTTATATGTTAATCATACCTTGCTCTTGTTCACGGCTAGCGACAAAACCAACGTTTTCATAAAATCCTCCGGTTGAGTTAGGAACTGGACCATTCTGGATGTCATTCAGTGGAGCTGGAGACTTCCTATTATCACCCTCCTTCCGTGACAGCTTCCTCCTATTAATTGTTAAAATAAAATTGAAGGATAAAGAAACATGCTGTTCGTTTCTGTTACGAACGTGGGATATTAAAAAAATAATATAAGCTGAATTACATATGCATTTTGATTGGTTCTTTCTTATGATCTATTGGAGGACGGACGCATAGATGACGTCACCATTAACAGCAAGGTCACCTGAGCCATTACTGACTTCATATGTGACAAGCGTCCTGCAGATTGCTATGAACAGCCATGTCGAAAGCCTCAGGTAAGTAAACAGAAGAAGAATGAAGTAAAGAAGAATACTGTAAGTAGTAATCAATTGCAACACCAACCTTTTCTACTTTATCTTTTTCCCAACTGAAAGGAAAACTAAAACTATAACCCAAGGGTATACCTTTTCCTAGCAGTGCTAGCTCACCTTCGGTAGAAGAACACGGCAACAACAACCGCCGGAATAAGGAGCAGCAACAACACCATAGGTACAGCCACAGCTGCAGCGTTTAGCCCAGTCGTTCCTTGATTTAAAAAAAGAAAATAAAACATTAAAACATTCCCTTTTGAAAGAGCTACTTTGAAGTAAATTCGAAGTAGTACAGAGATTTGATTTTACATTGATGATGCCTTTCCTTTCCAATCCTTTTTCCGCGACTTTTCCAAGTAAAATGTACAGTATAATCTGCGACTTTGGACCGGAAACAATGTTAAAAGGATAAACATTTCTTACTGTTTTTTTGTCTTGGCTTTACACCGTACCATGAAAAAAAGCTTTCGTCTCAATCGATGTCACACAGCCAATTCGAATTATTAATAATTGACCATTGAACACGCTACGATTGAAACAGAAAGATCAGAACTTTATCAAGGTTGTATAAAGTAACTCTTTTTCCCCTTTACGAAATAACGTCATAACATCAGCCAAATTTTAGAAAAGTAAAGTTTTACCTGCTTCAACAGAAATCCTGGCGACTTCGCTGACCTCTCCATAAACTTTCTAGAAAGGACATCAAATTCATGGAAGTTACTATGAAACTTTTTTTGCAAAACGCATGTAACTATTTTGTCTTCTAGAAGAACCAAATACTGTCAACGCTCGCCACCTTTTCAACCAATCACATTAAAAACAAGCAGCTTGCTTGTTTTCACTTTGAGTTCTCATTGGTTAATGATAACATCAACCTTTGTTCTGATTGGTCGCTGGGATTACTTTGGTTTTGGTTTCTCGACACAATTGAATTGCTCTATATGCAATGTACTTCATGAGTATCAAAAGTTACTTACGCCTTCGTGTTCTGTTATGGCTCTCTGATAAATAATGTAGTAATCTCCTCTTTCAAGTTTTTTGTTAACAAATTTTCCATACGGATTCCCGTCGCCGACGGTGAACTTCCGAGACGTCTCAAAGACTGGAATATTTTCTATCTCGGCAGCAACATAAAAGTTCAGGCTATCTTTGTTTGAATCCTCTAACTGTGATTTATACTCAGTGGGAAGCTTCTCAACACCATCAACAACTCTCAAAACAATGACTTGATAAGCACTGAAAGAGTGGAAAACAATTAACTCAATTATTCTGATCAAACGTCACAAAGATCACTGAAATATTACACAGAAGGAGTTTTATATATACAAGACCGAAAATATTGTTGAAATAACAGTCACCTTATTGGACCATTCCTTTGTTCTGCGGGCCAAAGTTCAACTTCAACCTGTGACTCAGAAACCTTCCTGATGGTCAATGATGGTACAACTGGAGCCAATGGCTCTGGGAAGAAAATAAATATTACAATATGATTAGCATAACTGTTACACTAAGATCAGTATGCATATTCTCCATACTGATCTCCATGCATTTCCTTAAAGAAGCTGCCAAGGAGAATTTGTTTAAAAATCAAGAACTTCTCCAGTTGGTGATCATTTCCTTTATTCTCCTGACCTTAATGTGTGATTCAGGGGTGATATTGTGAGGAGAAATTAGATGTTAGCCTCTTAGGGGTCACATGGTTAAGAGATACATGCTTACCTCCTATTTCTGTTTCCTTTTCCAAATATGTAGGGGATCCCTTGTTTCCACATTCTGAAATTCCATAAACCTGAAACTCATATTTGGTACCTGGTACCAAATTATCAAGGGTACATCTTGTTGTCCCTTGTACATCTTTGTTGCCTTTGTGTAAAAAGCTGTTGTTGTATGTCTTTTTCCCAGAGTACTCAACCTTAACAATCAAACAAAACCCATTGAGTCAACTGCCAATCAATAAGTAACCACATCTGCCTTAATTTATTTACCAATAAAATCTGTCTAGTCTCAAATTGTCACAGTCACAGAACAAAACAAAAAACATCATATTATAAATGAGTTGTGACATGTACATGCAAAATGACATACAGTTTTATAAGTCAAGTAATTCCTCAGACTTGTCACAGTAACTATTACAGTGGTTGCTCATACATTGTAGTCATACAAATGGCACGTTACATTTTCCCCGATATACTTATTCATCAGAACAGTCATTACCAATAGTACTTAATTAAAATACTCTTTGCGCTAGGAATTACAAAAATCACAAAAAAGGACACAGTTTCTGATTTGCCACTGGAAAATGTTATAGGAAATTTTCCTTTAAAACCCATGTTGTTTCAGTAAAGTAAGCAAAAAAGATAAAGCACCTTCCAGTTTTCTCCAGTAGCAGTCTGGGGTCTTTCCCATTCCAATGTCATCTCTGTTGACTGAAAGTTTGTTGCTCCTAGGTTGTTGGGTGCCCATGCTGCTTTGACATATTAGGAAAGAAAACAATTTATTACACGACTCGGGCAGTCAGAGGGCCAATAACTAAAATCAACCGATCAAAATGCTCTATTGCCGGTCCAATATTCTCTAAGTATTGGACCGGGCATTGTCCCAAATGGTCCCGAATGATACCACACTTGTGTCCCTTTGAACTTCAGTCGTATAATAAATCTCTTATTAACCAAGCTTGCTCGGCACCGTACTGGAAGAACATCGGCCCTCGGTCTTTTTTGTACGGACCTCGCTGCGCTCGGTCCGCACTGTCAAGACCTCGGGCCAATATTCTCCCTGTATGGCCCTCGCGCATGGTTAATAAGATATATGTATGTATCATAGCCTTTTTCTAAAGTTAGTTTTTTCTTTTGTGAACATATTTAGTACTTTTGTTAATTTCCAACTTTTTCTGTAAATTTGTTGTTTTCTTTGTATGCACAATCCATGTTGTAATAAGAATAAAAATAAATTTTAAAAAAGTCACTACAACAATCTGAATGTGACAATTAAATAGTTTTTTACAGCTTAAGAAAAAGTTATAGGAAACACTGAAACTTGTTTCCCTGGGCACACAAGGAGGTGCAGGTTAATATGTTTGACATCAGTCACTATTAGCCAAATGAAGCTGTAACTAAAGCTATAGGTAACTCTACAATACCTTGCAATTTTAACTTTTACTGGTGATTTTGAATCACTTTAAATGTTAAGCTTCTATGCAGTCTAGATTAATGAATTTAAAGAAAACTTTTTCATGCTATAATTTGTTGAAAAAAGTGAAACTCACTCAATTCTTCCAGTGTCAAGGGTTGACTAGATGGTCCAGGACCAGCTAGAGTATATGCTCGAACTGTTACACTGTAACAAGGCTGAATATCATACAGGATAACAAATGCTCTTGTTGTGTTAACAGTTTTGCTGTTGTCTGGAGACCTTTTTTTGCGACTTCCAGAAGACTTTAGTGATGCCTTGATCTCATATGACATAACTTTGCTATAACTCTCTTTTCTTGATAGGGGTGACCATGAAATATTGAAGGTTGTTTGGTTCAATGTACTGAAAAATACATCACTTGGTGCTACACTGGGTTCTGAAAAAAGAAACAAGAGTATACATGTTAGACCATGCCCAAAATTGGATTATTTTTTTTCTTGTTTTTCGCTTAGTACGGATGATTAACGAACTATTAAAATTAAGCCGATTTGACCAGACTTGTTTAAGTTGTGCTGTTCTTGCTCATTATAAATCCAATAATTCTATCTTTCTGTTATTTGTTTATCAACATCTATGCAAAGGAATTATAAATTTAGGAAATAATCGGTTGAAAAAGAAGATAAAACAATTAGGTCTTACGGCTGAGTAATAAACCTTCCAAAGCCGCGATGAGATGTCCGTACTACGGTACTAACGTACTAGCGCACTAAACAGTTGAGCAACAAGCCGTGATGAGTTGTCTGTACCGAGTACTAACGTACTAAGCAAATGAATAACAAGCCATGATGAGTTGTCTGTACCGAGTACTAACGTACTAAGCAAATGAATAACAAGCGTGATGAGTTGTATGTACCGAGTACTAACGTACTAATGTACTAAACAAATGAAGAACAAGCCGTGATGAGTTGTCTGTACCGAGTACTAACGTACTAGCGTACTAAACAGTTGAGTAACGAGCCGTGATGAGTTGTCCGTACCGACTACTAAGGTACTAACGTACTAAACAAATGAATAACAAGCCGTGATGAGTTGTCTGTACCGAGTACTTACGTACTAAACAGTTGAGCAACAAGCCGTGATGAGTTGTCCGTACCGAGTACTAAGATACTAACGTACTAAACAAATGAATAACAAGCCGTGATGAAAAGTCCGTACCGAGTACTAAGATACTAACGTACTAACGTACTAAACAAATGAATAACAAGCCGTGATGAAATGTCCGTACCGAGTACTAAGATACTAACGTACTAACGTACTAAACAAATAAATAACAAGCCGTGATGAAATGTCCGGACCGAGTACTACAGTACTAACGTACTAAACATATGAGCAACAAGCCGTGATGAGTTGTCCTTACCGAGTACCACAAAATACGGCAAATACGGCACAACTCGTAAAAATATTCAGCGATACTACACAACAAAACGTCTAATAAGACATATCTTTATGAATAATTTAATTCCAAAACTTTGCAAGTGCAATTTTAACGGTATTCTGTTTCTCAATAACGCAAACTGCCCTAAACGAAGTTTCTCCGTGATCTCAGGGACAGATGAAACAGAAAATGTTCGAGGCTGACACCACACTATATTACCCCTCGTTGGATAAGAACGATTAGTGTAATTAACATCTCGACTTTGTCACGTTCTCTTAGGTAGCATACTCAAGCTAGTTATCTGATAAACTGAAGACTTCGTCGAAATGGCTTTTTTTTTAGCTGAACTCGAAAAACCGAATCGTTACACAACTTTAGAGTCGTCCAGAAAAGACTTTTGAGGTTCTGAATTAAAAAAGTACCAGAAACTAGACATTTTTATGAAACATTCATCTGAGAGGAAGATAGTGCCGGGAACTTTAACGTGGTCCGAGGCTGATGGTTTTTCCCAAAAAGATACGTTTTCAAACAGAGATACTGGTTGACGGGCAATAACTATTCCAAAACAGTAGGAGTGGACTTACATTTCTTTGGAAAAATGGATATACATAGGGGTGCAGTGTCACTGAGAAGATGATGAGATCTCATTCGTATTTCGTGTAGGCCTACTCTGGGGCCTTAAGTCGCCGTAACTTTGGGCGACTTTGGGCGATTTAAGCCGACTTGAGAATATTGGTGGAAAAAACGTTGCGACTTCAGGCGATTTAAGGCGACTCAAAGCGATTTTATTTGACTGAAGTGATAAAATTAAAGTTAGCAACAGTCTCTCCATAAAATTTAAAAATATTTAAAGAATCCCTTGCAATAAACACAATATGATTAGAGTGGGGTGAATGGGGTAAATTGGGAAGGGGGGAACCCTTATAGCATTTCGTAACCTATAGCGATTTAAGACAACTTAAGGCGACTTTAGGCAACTTAAGGTCCCAGATTAGGCCTCCGTGTGATAAATTAGAAGTTGCAAAACGTGGCATTCCTCGTGTTAACTATATTAGGACTATAATTACCACACTGAAGATAACGCATTTCATGCGATAAATTTTTGCTTTGAAAGGTTTAACAGATTACAACGTTTTCGCTCAGCCATTCGTTAACGGATACGCTTTTCCTTGGGATGAGAAACCATACTGATTATGCGTATCATAGTGATGTGTCTTCTTTTTTCTGAGCTTGAGCGAGCAACTGATAGGAATGAGTTGAATCCCGATCCAGTCACTAGTGTCTGTTGTTTCATGAATTGTACTCGGTTCGTGGATGTTCCTCTCTAAACTCTTTAGGCAGCTAACGTTGTGAATGCACTATTCGTGTGTTCATGTGTTAATTTAGCCATGCTTTTCATTATACATACCTACGAACCAAAAAGATTTGATGTTTTGGTTCTTTTGACAATCGTGTTACAGCATTTGGCAGTAAAGCCGAAATGAAGTTAAGTATTCCAACACAAATCATGCCAATTTTTAGGTTTCCTTTAAAAATCGAATAAATTCTTAACTATAGACAATGAAACCAAACAGCTTCAACTGATGTTGCAACAGAGAGCAGCGCTTCATTGGAAGCTATCATTTCGGATAATAAAATTCCTAGTCGCAACGGGCACTGCAAATGCAAACGTAGAGGACAAAAAAAAAAAAAAAAAAAGAAAAAAGAAACACAGAAACTAGCTCAATTGGTTAAACTGGTCAAACAAGCTGAATTGGCTCTACGGCTTACAATGTTCAAACTAGTTGAAATGGCTAAAACCGACAAGACGCATAATTAAAGTAGCTGAATTGGTCAAACAAACTGAGATGGTTCGTGTTTAATAATTAAGGTCATACTAGCTGAAATAAATGAAACCGACAAAACCCACAAACTAGCTGAATTGGCCAAGTGGTTAAAATGGTCCAATTGGCTGAAATCGTATGAACCAACAAAAATGCCGGAACAAGCTTAATTCGTTGAACTGTCTAAAATGTTCCAACGAGGTGAAATGATTCACCTGGGTAACAGGCAAAATTTAGCTGAAGTGGTTCAACTTGATAAAATGGTTACACAAGCTAAAATGATTCAAGAAGTTGAAAAATACAAACTAGCTGAATTGGTTATAATTTCGTTGAAATAGGCAAACTTGCAAAAATGGTTCAAATGAACAAAACGCGCAAACTAGCTAAACTAGTTCTACTGGTTTAATTTGTCAAACCAATGAGGTGAAATAGTTGAACCGGGTAAGACGCAAAACCTTGCTTCATTGGCTCAACTTGTAAAAATGGTCAAACTAGCTGAGATGGCTCAACTGGTTAAAATCGTAAAACTAACTAAATTGGTTCAACTAAAAAAAACGTACAAACTAGCTGAATAGGCTTAACTGGCTACAGTGGTCAAAGTAGCTGAAGAGCTTTAACTAAGAAAAAAAACGCAAACTAACTTAATTGTTTCAACTGGACAAAACAAAAGTGGTTCCACTGGTTAAAATCGTGAAACTAGCTGAAATGTTGGTTCAACTAAACAAAACGCTCAAACTAGCAGAATACCGGTACGAAGAGCTTTAACTGAAAAAAAAAAAACAAAACAAAACAAAACAAAAAAAAATCGCAAACTAGCTTAATTGGTTCCACTGGACAAAACAAAGAAAAAAAAATCAATAACAAATGACAATGAAAAATGACACCAGACAGCTTCGACTGAAGTCACAACCGAGTGCAGAGATTTGCTAAATAAAGCTGTGACCACGAAAACATGATGCCTGCGTGAGTTGAATTCACCTCGACACTTAACTAGTTGCATGTCACAAGAAAGTGTCGTTAAGGGGTAAACAAAACTTTGATGGCGACAAAAATAATTCAGGGATAGCCGGCACAGCTTGCAGTGAACACTTTCTTAAACTTTGGATTATTTTTCCGTTCAAAGCGAAATATAGGCCAAAATAGTAATTCTGGCCTCGTCTTCTCTCCAAAAAAAAAAAAAGCCGTTGATTAATAGGGTATTTCAGTACTACTTAAAAACAGGAGTGAGGCTATGGATTAGAAGAGTTTTTTTTCCCTACCATTGAATTGGCAACAAGTAAATAAGAGGGATTCATTGGAGGTTCTGAATACGCAACACCGCAAACAAAATAGAACTAGCACCTCAGTCACCCAAAAATATAACCAATGGAACGACATCGCAATATACATTAAGTTGCACGATTTAAATGGTCTGGTTTGGCCGATAGTGCGTGTGGTAGAGGTCCAGAGGTCAAGTTTAATGCTAGCTAATGTTTATCAAAGATTAATTCGGATTTATTGCTTACTTTGTTTGATCAAATCTAGTTTCTAAAAGGGTTAAAGAACAAACTGCAATTCATAAATGGTTTATTTCACCGAAAACCGTCAGTTCGAGATCACCGCAACACCGCAGTGCGAGTTGTTCTCCACTACATTACCGCAGTAAAAATAAGGTCCACACCGCAACAGCACAAACCCCAATGTTTATCAATATACTCCTTTTTTCACACATTAAATCAAATGTTCAATTTCATGGCATACATGAAAAGAACAGCTTCAGTGTGCATTGCTGCCAGATGATTCCCAGACTGCATTACGCGAGTATAATAGGTTCCAGTCCTTTACTAGTATGCTATTACACTAGTACTTTGGTGGGCCTGTGCTCGCTCGAGAGGTGTACTTAGTACGCTAGTACTCTGGGTTTAGTTAGTACGCTAGTACTCTGGTACGCTAGTGACACGCAGTCCTTTAATCGAAAGCTAGTACGTTGGTACGCAGGTCATTCATGCTCGCTCGAGAGGTGTAGTAAGTATGTTAGTATGCTAGTACCTAGGTATTCATGCTGGCTAGAGAGAGGTTTAGTTAGCACGCTAGTACTCTGGGTTTAGTTAGTACGCTATTACTCTGGTAGGCTAGTGACATGCAGTCCTTTAATCGAATGCTAGTACGTTGGTATGCAGGTCATTCATGCTCGCTCGAGTGGTAGTTAGTACATTAGTACGCTAGTACGTAGGTATTCATGCTCGCTCGAGAGGTTTAGATAGTACGCTAGTACTCTGGTACGCTAGTGACATGCAGTCCTTTAATCGAAAGCTAGAATGTAGGTGCGCAAGAGAGGTGCATTTGGTACGCTAGTACTGATGAATAAACAAAATACTAAAGGAGATTCTGCTAAATAGGTACTGTTAGTACGGTAGTACTGATGAATGCTGTTAGTACGGTAGTACTGATGAATAAGCAAAAAATATAGAAAAGCATTCCTATAATGGGCAGCATATGATACATGTAGCAAATCAATTAAAGAGTCACTGGTACGAGTTTTAAAAAAATTCTAAAATCATATTTGAAAATCTCATTTACAAATTTCACCTGGAGTGAATTTCAGTAACTCTTCCCTCCTTCCCCTTCCCCAAACTTTTTTATTTTTTAGGTAAGTGGTCATTAATATCCAATACAAACATGTTCAGTCCTTCATATCTACAGTACTGCTCCAAAGTAAGTTGACAGTTCCTCAAAAATCAATCCTGCATAGTTACTCTTTTTTTTTTTTTTCCAGGATCAAGGCTTGTGTTGAGATTCAAGATGCTTGAAACAACTTTGAGCACTGAAGTGACAAGGAGAGTCTATCCTGTACCCGCACATATGATATAGCTGTTCTCTACTTGTCTACCCTGATATTACTTACCCTCTATGTACTTATTAAATAACATTTAAGTTTGTAGTCAAAGTGAATCTGATTACTTATGTTTTCTGACTCACTGACTCACACTTACCATAATCCTTAGTCCGAACAGACGCAGTGGCATTTGGTCCTGGTTTGATAGTTACAGCTCTAATATGGAAGTGATAGTTGACCCCACCAAACACATCCATTATATAACTTAACAAATTTCCTCCTAAGGTTTCAGTGTGAATACTATGAGGATCTTCATCGTGATTGTAGAACACAGTGTAACTCCTGATAATTCCATTTTCTTCTGCTGGCTTATGCCAAGTAAGCTTTATCTTTGGACCAGCTGATTTATCAGGCATTATCTCAGAGAGTACAAGGTTTGAAGGAGTGCTTGGTGCTAAAGTAGTAAAGAAATGGAATATGAAGATCATTATTTAAACTACACTAAAAAAATTGACCTTTGGTAGAGAAAATATAAAAATTAGATGAACTGATGCACTTCTACATTTTCACTTACACTGCAGAAGCCATCTGAACACTTGTGATGCACTCATTTGTTACAGACATGTTTTCAATGTTACTGCTGACTTAACTCAATCAATATGATACAGAATATCAATTGAACATAGTATATCAGGAAGGCAATTTACAAGTACAGGGCCTTTGTTCCATTCTCATTTAAATCATTATTTTTAGAGAAAAGTGTTTTTTCTAACAACCTACACTATTCTTTTTTAGCCTCTTACCATCTTCCAGTGTCTGCTCAACCTTTACAGAACTTTTTGGTCCCTCACCATGAGAACCAACAGCCAACACTTGGAACTCATATTTGGTATATTTATCAAGATTAATGACATCTCGAGTTAATGTTGCTTCTTCACTAATAAACAACATATGTGACTTGTCAACTGAGCCTTTCTCTCTGTATAACAAGTTATATCCTGTTATTGTTCCATGTCTGGCATACTCTGGCAGTGATGTCCATGATGCTCTTATTCTGGTGGATGAGATCGCAGTCACTGTGAAGTTACTGGGTGCTTGTGATGGAACTAGGTTGTTGAGTTAAAATCATGTGAGTATAAGTTCTAGAGTTTTCCATTGGTCAACTTTAAAAACAAATAATTTAGTGGTCCTTATAAAGGAGATTATAGTGATCAAGTGTCACTTTTCTTCAGTGTACAACTACAGCTGTACTTGCATCTACAGCCAGCCAACTTTCTCCATGCACCTACCATGATTCACCTATCTGCCTTAATTACTATGTTGTGAAGCCTGTCCTTTTGTTCAGTTTATTGCGAACAGGTGTGTAGATTAAATTTTGAGATTATATACTCAGAAAAAACATGTACATGTATCCCAGGTAATTTTCCAGAAGAAATATTGGGAAAATATGTGGCAAAAAGTAGAAAATAGGTATTAGAGAATCAAGGAGGAAATATAGTAGCATCATTGGAGGAGTTTGCATACCATGTTGGCTCATCAACAGTTTAATGTGTGTTCTTAAGCCATGCTTGACAACATACAGATTAATTTGTTGTTAATAACAATATTATACATGTATCTGTAGAGGCTGTGAGAGTAATGGAAATTTGAAAGGAGTAAAATTACATCCTTGGCAAAATAATTCTTTTGCACATTTACATTATCATGGTTAAGTCTAACATCAAAGTTAACATACATTCTTCACAGATTATAAATTATACAACATTTCAAGTAAGGTTAGTCACAATAATCTTTTCCAAGGATTTCAAAGTTTAATATCATACTGAGCAAATAAAGTTAATACCTGTAGATAGGATGACTCCATAAACTTCCACTCTCAATGCCTTATACTTATGATACGCTGTTGGCACAAAATGAATGAACCTTGCCAAAGTATACTCCCCCAGACCATGTTTTACTATGTCATTTCTTCCAGAGTTACCATCAAAGATCTAAAATATCAACGATTGTGCAAATATATGACAAATATGATGCATTCTTCGAAGGATTGCCCTGTGCCAACCTAAATGTGTTGCAAATGTACAACAATAGAGTTTTAGGCTCTCTCAGTTGGGAGGCAATTGTTATCAAGACCACAAGAGCATCTATAAATATTGCAAATTCAAATATACAATGTATGTGTAAGGCAGGTTTTCATTCATTTGCACTTAAACTTGACATGGTTACCGTAATAAATATGGTTCAAGTTAAAACAAAAAAAAAATGCATTTAAATAATCGCCCTTTATTCTACTGTCTTGTACACCCTTCATGTAGTGTACCTTTAGGTAACTTGGTAAGTACATGTACATGTATTCAATTATTGGAGACTTAAAAAATTAAAAAAATTCAACCAAGTTTAGCATTATGTTTCAATTACATTAAACTGACCTTCTCAGTGTTGTTTTCTTGATAAATGTCAAAATTGGCATCAACCAATGATAGACGAATTTTGTACTTTGTTGTCCACTCATCATTATTTTTAGCTCCTTGAGTAGCCACAGCACATATAACATAGTCAAATAGCAGGTCGATTTCTAGGTAATCAGCATTATTGTTTGTTGTCTCAGGCGCCCAACCCATAATACTTCCATTCAGTCTACCATTGGAAGGTATATACCTATGGTCATAGTATGTTGAGGCTGAGAAGCTTTTGTCTGGAATTGATTCCTTGCTGGTCACTCCAATGGCCTGACTATAGCATGCTGTTAAAAAGACAATCATCATTACCATAAACTGTGGTTTCAACTGAGAAAACCAGTTTATCATACATGTACAGTACCAAACACAGGAGTGCTGTAATACTAAATACCTTAAGTGATTTCACTAGTAATTTCAGGTCATTGTGGTTGAGAACATTGTTGAGAATGCTGCGCTCACTCGTTTGTTTTTACAATGCATCACATTTTGTGAATTAAAATTGTTCATGTGCACTTCCCATGGAATAATCTCAGTCTTTATCCATACAAACATGTATATAATGGGTCTTCTTTGATTATAAAAAATGTTCAAGTCTGCACATATACCTGGCTTTTGTTTCACCCCAAACACCTCTGTTCTCATACACACCCTGCCCTGGTGTGTTTGTGGCAAGAATCGCAGATATCTTGTTAACACTCCATAAACAACATGCTTCAGGATTGAGTTTCGGTCATCATTTCCCAAAAAGAACTAAGATTTTAAAAATTTAAAGCATTAAATAATATCACAAATGTATGATGAAAATTACAGCAGGTTTTGGTAAAATTAGTAACTAGGTTAAGGGAAAATGAGATTGTTACAAATGGCAGCCTGTCGTAGAAGAAAAAATACTGATTTGTGGGCACAATGCTCATGAAATTGTCATTGTGTGAAATACATGTAAAAATAAGTTTTATTTTTGTATTCAAATTGTTATGACTCAGAAAACACTCTACCTTAACTTGTCCACCTTCCTTGTAGTCTGTCCAGCTTGTCCCATCTGTGGATAATTGTAGTTTGTAAGTCTTCACCCACTGCTCTGCTTGAGAATTCCCTTGTGTAGACACAGCACAGATGATATGAAGTGTCTGTAGATCAATCTGTAGATATGGGTTAGTGTCACTGGTTCTTGCACACCATGATGATCCTGATGTGTAGTTCAGTCGACCATTCTTAGCTGGTGTGTTGGCACTTTGAACAGAAGAAGTAGTTATGCTACCATCTGAAATTCTGCCATTTCCCAAACCAAGATCCAAATTGATACAAGCCCCTATAACAATACATTAATTAAAAAAAATTAAAAGCTAAAGCACAAAGCATTATTAAAGATTAATCTAATTTCCCATGCAAGCTAAATGCATGAACACCCATGGATAAACTTCGCTTTTTTAGTCGCAAGAAAATCTATTCGGAACCTAGCTTCCTTGTTGCTGTCAATATACGTATGTTTAAGATGCATAGGTTCTGAATCTTCTAATCTGTGCTTTTTAAAGTCCGCAGAGGTCAAGGACATTCGTCTTCAGCACTGACAAACATAACAACAATATCATACGACATTTCTCCCATCGGTTCCATTTCTTCAGTATGTATTCAGCCCGAAAAAGTACTTAGTTATTTACCTGGATACCTAGGCATTTCATCGTTTAAATTATAAAAAACAAACGGAGTAACTCGATTCGAAATGAGATTACTCTATGTTGATTGTGGAAGGCTCGGTGACCACGACACGAAACATGGGTTTTGGTGGGAAAATAACGTCGCTTGCAAAGTTAATCACGTGATCAATAATTAACAATTATTTGCCAAAGGCGAACTGAATTTATTACACGACTCGGGCAGTCAGAGGGCCAATAACTTAAGTCAACCAATCAAAATGCTCTATTGCCGGTCCAATATTCTCTAAGTATTGGACAGGGCACTGTCCCGAATGGTCCCGAATGATACCGCACTTGTGTCCCTTTGAACTTCAGTCGTATAATAAATCTCTTATTAACCAAGCTTGCTCGGGACCGTACTGGAAGAATATCGGCCCTCGGTCTTTTTTGTACGGACCTCGCTGCGCTCGGTCCGTACTGTCAAGACCTCGGGCCGATATTCTCCCAGTACGGCCCTCGCGCTTGGTTAATAAGATATAT